CCACTGGGAGTGGGTGAGCTCCAACCCAGGAATGCTGAAGAAGAGAGTATGAGGAACGAGAAAGAGGCCAGAAGCCCCCCACTGATCACCCCGCTTGTTCTGTGGGCCTGGCCTTCTACAGCACTGCTGTCGTGTTCCTGCCCGGGCAGCTTCTCTGCTCAGTGGTTGGAGTCCTCAGCTGAGACCAAGAGCTGGGAATGAAGTGTTCTCCCTCTGTTCCAGGGACGTACATCCGGACCAGCGATGGGCGGATTTTTGCTATCCGGACCACTGGGAAGCCAAAGGGCAACGAAGACCGTCGGACAGCTGCCTCAGGTAGGGCTTGTGAGCGCTCTGCAAGGCTTGCTCATCTGCTTCCACGCTCGAGTGTATGGAGCCTGCTGTTCCCTGACATTCAGAGCTCACCCCACAGCCTCCCCACGATATTCTTGCCTTTTCTGCCTCTCGGCTCCCAGCTTTCTCTCCGAGGCTGTCCTTCTCACCTACTCCATCTCCTTGTTTGCAGGCTCCCAGAGCTCTTCGCTGGAATCCACAAGCAACGGCAGACACAGTGCCTCATCCCCACAGCTCCCCAGCGCAGAGGAGCTCACTCGGCCCATATCCCCCGACAGCCCCGAGATCATCAGCGAGCTGCAGCAGTATGCGGAGGCGGCGGCAGCCCGGGAGTCCCGGCACAGCTCCCCCAGCACCACCGCAGCACAGGGCCACCCGTCCCGCACCGTCAGTGCGCCCGGCGTAGCAGCTCGAGGAGCTGAGCAGCGCGCGGGGATTCACTGCGTGGCCGACTCCGTGTCTTCAGCCCTGCCGGTCACCAGCCAGCACGTCGATGCCCGCTCCGTGTTGGACTTACGGGGCAACAAGCGCAAGTCGAGCTCGCCGTCGACTCCGGAGGAGCAAACCCGCAGGCAGCAGAAGAAACGCCAGCTGCCGTCGTCCGTGCAGCCGTACGAACACGGGTACCCCGTCTCCGGTGGGTTCGCCATGCCTCCTGTCTCTTTAAACCACAACTTAACCCATCCGTTTGCCTCCCAGCCAGGAAACTCCTTGTACATGGTCGCTGGCTCCTCTTACTACCAGCTGCCCAATTTACTCCCAGACCCTCATCTGGTGTTCCCTGTGACTACTGACCCTCTGCTGACAGCCGGCACCGCCAGCTCTTCTGCTGCTACCTCAGCCACCGCCAGCGTCCCCTCATTCATGCTAAGCCCTTCTCTGACGGGGGTGCTGCCCAGTTACTCGCTTCCCTTCACGCAGTCCCTCCTGCCCGAGCCCAGGATGTTCGCTCCTTTCCCAGCCCCCGTCCTGCCCAGCAGCCTTCCCAGGAGCGTGGCATCCGCCTACCCTGGCTTCGTGTCCCCTCATTCGGGCTACCCGGCCGGGGGCTTCCTTCGCTCCCAGGTGCCTCAGTTTGAACCCCAGGAGGTCCCAGAGGTGGGATGCAGCTCTAATGACGAGGACAAAGACGACGATGTTATAGAGATCACAGGGAAATAACGGGCCCGGCTCCCACTCGGTCTCAGCTCCACCGGGAGACAAAAGTTGCAGGACCTCTGTGGGAGTCAGGATTCCCCCCTCCCCCCCCCCACCCCAGGCAGTGGGGTGGAGAAGGATGCGAAGGGTGTGGCGTGGGGTTGGTTTTTTTCTTTTTGTTCTGTTCTGTTGTGTTTTTGGGTTTTTTTAGCCATCGAGGATCTGAATTGTACTGAGGGGCTGGGAGACGGTGGGGGACATAGGGTGGACCTGAAGGCCGGGGGAGCACAAGCCAGGGCTGGAGGGAAGCGGCGATGCAAACCATAGGAGTGCCTCCCTCCCTCCCACGCCCTGTCTGTCTGTCTGTCTCTGTTCTGTCTTGTCCGAAGGGGGAGGCGGCTCGGTGCCCGTCGCTGCCCTTCTCAGCCCGGAGGCGCGGTGCTGGCGGGCGCTCTCCCTCTCACACGAACTGCCTTATCCGTGAGCTTCCCTCCCCACGGGAGGTGGGGGCCAGGGGGAGGCTCCAGCGGAGGTCGGGGGGTGGGGGGGTGAAGCGTTTTTACTGGGGGAGCGTGGGGGGGTGGGGGGGAAACTTTCCTGTCATGGTGGTTGTAGGGGGGGGGATTGATTTTAAAAAAAAAAAAAACAACAACAAAAAATGAACAACAAAAAACAAACCAGACACAAAATCACCCCACAAACAATCTGTCGTCCTTTTCAAATTCACTGCTAAGCAGCACGAGGGCTCCAGGCCCTTCTGGGGCTGCCAACAGAGGTAGGTCCATCCCACAGTGCCCACTGTGGGGCTGCTGCAGTGGGCTCAGCCCCAGGCAGGACAGGGGGCTGCGCCCAGCTGGTGGCTCTGTGATGGAGCCACTTCCCCCCGCCCTGCACAGAATCTCTACCTTAATTTATTACATGAAGGCGTCATATTTATTGCTTGGGGGACTCTCTCTTTCTAAATTAATTTCCGTATGAACGCAAAAGAAAGAAATCCGTGAAGCTCTGGCCTCCATCACACCTGGAGGCTTGTCAGGCTGTCTGGCAGGGGAGCAGCTGGAGCATAGAGCAGGTTGGCTGTGGTTTCATAGCTTCCCTTCATCACGCCGCATCCCACGGGGGCTGCAGAGCAGCTGGAGGGACAAGGAACCCCTTGGTGCTCTCAGGAGCTGCTGTGCTCCTTCCGAGTGAGGAGAGTGGATGGGGAGGAAGGAGAGGCAGCTCTGCAGGGCTCGGGCGAGCCCTGAGGGCTCTCGGAGTGGAGAATGCCTGGTCGGTGCTCGCTGGGAGCAGGCAGGGCAGTGCAGGATGCGCTGCCATCCTCCGGCAGGGCTGCGCGCGCTGGAGACGCGGTATGGAAACAATAAAAGAACTGTTGCGGGGCTTTCCTAGTGTCCTTCTCTGTTCAATGGCCGTTGTCTGTCAAACATAACCACACCGTTCGTAGAAGCCTTAGATCAACAGTTTAGCTATGCAAGTTACTTTAATTATTATTCTTTTTTTTTTTAAGACAAACATTAAAATAGTGCTTTCTTCTTTAACATATCCTAGGAGTTGAAAACCGAGGGGTTCTGAGCAAACTGCTGGACAACTTGTCTTTGGATGCACCATGGAAATAAAAATCAAACCCCCCCACAAAAGTAACAAAGCAAATTAACTGATGGTGTTCATGCAAGTTCCTCCAAAGCCGTGACAGTGCTGCGTTGTGAGTCATGCCCTCCCGTGCTCTGGGTGTCCGCCTGCGCACAGCCCTGTGCCGCTGATGGTTACCAGCGTGCCCCGCTGCCCGCCGCGTCCCCGTGAGGCTGTGGTTGCCGGTGGATTTGGGGATGGGTCGTAGCAAAGGGTGGTCCTAGGGGGGAGAGTGGGAGCGGAGTGGCAGCGGAGCCCCTCCGCAGCCGGCCTTCCTCATGGTCCCTGCGCTGAGATGTGTCCCCAAGGTGTCCCCGCTTGGCCCCGTGCCACTGCAGGTGATGGAACTTAGAACGGCTCTGCAGGCGGCCTCCCTGCAGCTCACCAGGTGCCTGCCCCGCTCCCAGGCACCCTTTGGATGCAATGGGGTCCCCCCCTGAAGAGGGTCTGTGTCCCCATGCCCATCAGAGCCTGGCCCAGGGGGGGTGGCCATCAGCGCTGCCTGCAGAGATGCAGGGACAGCACTTGTGCATCTCTTCCCTCCTCCTCCCAGCACCGTGGGGTTATGCAGGCTGTTCTTAAGCGGAGGGACCTCTATGAGCCCTGCAGCACCTCTCCCAGGGATCCCCACCCTACATCCCTTCCCTCAGCATGTGGTTCTGCTGCAGGGCTCCTGTCCTGGCCCTGAGCCTGGAGCGGTGCTTTCCCACCCGGTTCAGCACTCTCTTTATTTTTGCTGCTGACTTTCTGTCTCCCAGCGACCGGTGGAAGCAGTGGGGCTGGGGGTGATGCTGGGGACAGCCCTGCAGGGCTCTGCCTGGAGTCTCACAGACCCTAAGGAAGAGCTTGGGGTGGTGGGGCAGAGTCCCAGAGGCAGGGTGGGCTCTGCAGGGTGCTGGGGGGCGGCTGCGGATGCGCACACAAAGCAGAGGGTTCCAGCAAGCAGAGGGGTGTTTGCTAGAAATGATGTATTGTGGCTTAGAGACAGCAGCGAACAGCTGAGCACCACCAGAACATCACTCTTGGTTGAGGGGTCAAAAGAGGCAAAGTGCAGCAACACCTTTGCAGCTGGTGTTGCTCGCCACACTTGGATGAATTGTGTTCATGCAGGGGAGGTGGGCTGGGGGTGTTGGTCACAAAGGCAATGTAATGTGATGCTGTGGGGATGGTGGCTCCGGGCAGCAACAGAGGATGCGCTCCCTTTGCTGGGACAGTGGCTCAGCGCCAGAGCCCGCAGCGCAGCCATGCGTGCGTGGAGCCTGAGTGAATCCATCAATAAGTCTCACTTTGGTTTTCCTGTTTTTTGGGGGTTCTTCTTTTGTTTTTTAACTACCGCCTTAGTTTGTGGTTGGTCTTTTGTGGTTGGAAGGAGGAGCACCCAGCAAGGTGGGTGGGTCGGTGCCCCACGCATGATCTCGTGCTTCCCTCTGCTCTCTGTCCAACTGGCTGTACTTGCCTGAGCTCCCAGAGCAGAGACTTGGAACAATTTGTTGTTTATATGATGTATTTATTTTTACTTGTGTTTCATGTCATTTTTTTTTTTTTTAATAATAAATTGTAAGTTGGTAAAACTGCCTGTTGTCTCTCTGACTCTGGAATCCATAAAAGCAACGAGGGCTGGGATGGGAGAGGCGGGCACCCCTCAGCCCACCGGGATGGTGCTGGATGTGGGCACTGCGCCCACCGCAGGTCCAGGTGCCGCCAGGTGCTGGGAACCACACGCAAGAATGGCTGCTTTCCATCCTCAACCGCTTGTCTTCCTTATTGCTGCTAAGAACTGCCCAGGGAAGAATGGGAATCAACTCCTCAGGGCACACAAGCTTTGCGTCCAGGAGCTGTGCCAAGGCGGACAGTCCCAGCACGGTGTGAGGTAGTCGTATTGGAGAGGTTCTGTGCCCCTACAGCCTCCAGGGCTGCCGGCGCACACGGCCGCTCTTGCCCTCGGGGGCGCGGTGCTGCCACTTCTGCTGCCAGGCCTTCTGCCGCTGCCGCTCCCGGAGCCGCAGTGCGGTGCAGTAAGCATCGAGGCCGCCGCTGCCCGGTGCCCCCAGCACCCGCGGCTCTGTCCACGTGCTCTCGGCCCCTTTACCGCGGCGGTGCTGCAGCTCCGTGGCCTCGTGCCGGATGACGTGCAGGCTGTAGCGAGTGAGGGGCCAGGAGAAGGAGCGCTCCACGGCCCGGCACTCATAGGTGCCGGCGTCCTCCCAGCCCAGCTGGCGGATCAGCAGCCCCTGCTCCAGCACCACCACGCGTCTGCCGCTCCTCACCTGGGCACGGGCACAGTCAGGCCCTGCTGTCCTCCTCGCCTTCACCCCCTCCCCGCTGCCCTCATACCTCGCTCAGCCCCAGCCCCTCTCCACGCCGCGCCAGCCACCGCACTGCTGTCTGCGGGGAGCGCGCCTGGCACTCCAGGAACGTGGAGTTCTTCTCCACACCAAACACCGGCTGCTCCACGGCCGCCATCCCTACGTGGGAATGGGATGGGGTCAGCCCCAGCGCCGCGCTCCCCGATGGCAGAGGGTGCCATCAGTGCCCCGCTGCCCACCAGTCCCAGCAATGGCGCTCACCCTCTGCTGTGTCCTGGCACTGGCTGAGCACATCGGCCTTCAGCACGTCTTGGCAGCGGGCGCGCCTGTGGGACAGTGGATGGGGATGTGCTGGCACCTCTTTCCAGACCAGGGCTTGCAGGGAACACGAGGTGACCTCATGGCATGCTCACCGCTTCTCCGTGAGCAGCAGAGAGGTGCAGGCACTGCCATCCCACGTGCAGTAGGGGTCTCTGGCCAGGCAGCAGTCCATGCAGGTCTGCCCATAGAGCTCACAGCGGGACAGGGAGAGCTGCAGCAGCCCCTGTGTGCTGCTCACCAGCAGCTCCTGCTGCTCGGGCACATCACAGTGGTCAGTGGGGCAGGGCCTTGGCACACCTGGGAGTGAAGGGCTGGGGCCAGATGCCCTGTCCCTTGGAGTAGAAGCACGAGGACTCACCCGCTTTGGTGACAGCTTCATGTCCAGGATGGGTGAAGGCACCTGGAGGGTGAAGGAAGGCAGTGAGGCCTTGCTAGACGCCGGGCAGTCGTTCCCAGTGAGCGCCTCCATACCTCAGTGACGCTGATCTCCTCCAGGCTCACAGCCTCAGCACCCGCCTCACCGGGCAGCCCCACCTTCAGCACCTTCCCATCATCTGCCAACACAGAAAGGTGTTGTGGGGTGGGGGTCTGACGCTGTGCACACACCCTTTGCCTGGCTCCATTCCCCATCCCCAGCGCCGTGCCGAGCCCCGACCTGTGCCAAGGAAGAGCACATCGTAGTGGCGGCCCTCAGCCTCCAGCCGGTGCACCAGCAGCTGCCGCAGGCGGTAGGGAACGTTGGCACGGAGCAGGACGGGCCGGCGGCCCAGCGGGTGGATGGGCTCCCACATCAGCTGGTGGGCGCGCACAAAGCTGATCACCTCATCGGGGAAGTCCTTGGTGGAGCGCAGCAGTGGGTCGTACGTCTCACTGGGGCACTGCAGGGAACACCGAGGGACGTGTCACAGCTGGGATGGACCCTCCTGATGCCACCTGCTGCCCGTGTCCATACCGTGCCAGGGCGGGGGTAGGGGACGCGGGCCTTGTACTGCACCCAGCGGTGGTCGAAGCCCTCCTTGTGCGCGAAGGGGCCGCTGAAGGCTGCTCTGACTGCAGCCATGGAGTAGACGCAGACGGCGGAGCCGCTGAACACAGCACTGCAGGGCAGCTGTCAGTGTAGCAGGGTTGAGGGCTGGGGAGGCTCATGGATGCCCCGTGCGCAGGAGTGGGCTCACCTGGATGCTGTGAAGAGGCCGAAGACGAGGGGGTTCTGGGGGTCTCGCGTTTGGAGGAGGAAAACGTCCTCTGTGGGGAGAGAGAGGGGAGTGGCAGGGCGCTGGGTGCAGGATAGCAGCAGCCCCAGGAGGGAGGCACTCACCCAACTGGTCAAAGTGTGTCTGCGTGCCCTGGGGCCCGGGGATGGAGCACAACAGGCGGGCCTTGAGGAACGTGCTCCAGCGGTTGATGAGGCCACGCTTCCCTCCAACGTCGTTCTGATGAGCAAACAGCGCTACGCACACCTGCATCCACCCACCCAGCCCAGCACCAGCACTGGCATGTGGTCCTAGCCCCAGCCCCAGTCCCTGCACTGCCTGGGTGCCCAGGGATGGGGATGCGCTCATGGCTCTGCAGCAGAGCACTGGCAGAGGTGGGGGGCCGTGCTCCTGCTCGCAGGGGATTTGGGGACTGGAGAGACCTCGGGTGACCATCAAATCGAGCCCCACAGCAGGGATGGGGACTGCAGCTGGGGAAGCCAAACGCCCACCTGGCTTCACACTGACCTTGCAGACCCGGGCCACCCTGGCGTGGATGTGCCGCCGCTCCCACTGCCCGCCCTCCAGGGCCGTCTCACGGAAGAAGACGTAGACCTTGTCGTCATGCGGGTTGTGGGTGTCGGGGATGGCGAAGGCGCCGATGAACGTGGGCTCTGCGAGCAGCAACATGGCATTGCCCCACGCCCACAGCACCCCGTGGGGCCACCAGCCAGGCCCGGAGCCCTCGTACCATGTAGCCAGTGGTCCTGGTGCTGCTCCGTGCGGATGTAGCCCCGCTCAGCCCCGCTGACCTCGGTGCGGAAGAAGGCGGCACTGTTGCCCATGAAATCACTGGAGGTGCCCGAGTACAGCTGCCCATCTGTGGGGCAGTGTGGGCATGGAGCAGCTGGGATTCGCCACAGACCCCCCACAGCCCCCGGTACTCCGCTCTTACCGACCAGCAGTGCAGCAAAGGGCTGCCGGGGGCTGTAGGGGCACCGTCCTCGCCCCGACTGCAGGGAATGGCTCAGCAGCCGCATCACGGGGATCCCAGGACCCTGCAGAGAACGGGGGGAGAGGGGCGGTCGGTCTGCAGCAGGGCTGCACTGCCACCAGGCACTGCCACAGGGAGTCCCCACCTGCCCGCGGGCTCCCAGCTGCACGAAGGCACAGATGGGCTGATAGGCGCCGGTCCCACAGGCCAGCACGTGGCTGCTGTTGTAGGGCTGCAGGAGGCGGATGAAGTTGGCGCACTCGGTCTGCTCAAGGGGAGACAGCTGTTAGTGGCACGCTCACGGTGCTGGGGCTCAGCTCTCAGTGCCCAGAAGCCACACGCAGGTTTTCCCAGCCCCACTCACCTCCACGTCCTTGCCTGCCAGCTGGCAGTGCTCTACCTGTGCTCTGGGTGCCGGCCAGGAGATCTGCAACCACACAACCGTGGGCTGTGATGGGGATGTGGTGCCAGATGCCGGCGCTGCCCGGCACGCACCCACTGCCCCACGCTGACCTTCTCAGGCTCCCTGCCCGGCTGCTCCAGGTGCAGCAGGACGATGTGGTTCTTGGCTCCTACCATCAGCCAGGTCCTGTCCTCATCCAGCAGCAGCGCCTGGGAGCCCGGCGTGTCCCCTGGGGCCAGCAGCCACCGGGAGCTGTTGGACTTCAGCAGCTCTGAGGGCACAGGGTGGGAGGAAGGGCGGCATTGAGGGGACCCCCCACCCCCCCCAGCGTGAGGCCAAGCACGCGGGTGGGAGCGAGGCGCTGGGGACCCGGCTGTGCACACTGCAGTGTTAAGTGCATGGGACGTGGGCACCGGCGCGTCCGCAGCAGCTGGGAGGAAGCGAGCGGAGTGGCCCTGACGTAGTGCAGGGTAGCGCACAGGGCCAGGCAGGGGCTGCCATGTGCTTCCCACCGAGAGAATGGGGTGAGCAGCTGGATTCCTGTCCCTGCTTCCACTGCGCAGCGGCTGTGGCGATGGGTGAGACACATCCTCTGCTTTGTGCCATTATCTCCCAAGGACAGGGTGTTTTTCCTCCCCCCCTCCCATCTATCTCCTGAGCCTCAGCATCCTCGATGTGAGCTGACCCCGCTTCCTGGGGTCACCACCTGCCCCACAGCACGCCCCTCAGCCTGGGGGGCTCTGCACCTCCATCCCCTCGCTGGTAAGGTTGAAGCCCCACTCTGCAGCCCCACACCGTGCAGCGCTGCTGCAGGAACACAAACTGTCCCAGTGTGACCCACACCCACCTCTCTCCGTGCCCATCCTTCCTGTGCTCCCATGGCATCACTGCTGTCATTTCCTTCTGCAAACTGCTCACGTTTCCCCCCCTCACCAGCTCTCTCTCTCTCCCATGCTGAGCCCCGACGTGAGGCTCTCAAAGGCCCTTTCATTTTATTTATATTTTTTTTTTCCTAGGGTTTTTAAACCTAAACTTCTGGAGCCTCTGTGTCCTTGAACCTGCTGCCCCTCGCTGTCCGTGAGTCACATCCCGTGCCATTGTTCCATTGTTCCCCAGCCCTCCCGATGCTGGGAGCTTCCTCTGCTGCCTCTGCCCATGGCTGCGGCCCCATGGATCCCCCACCCCACGGAACCACATCCCCGGGAGTGGAAACACCTCGGATGGGGACCGCGTGCAGGAGGTGGGACAGAAGTCGGTGGGGGCCTCCAGGGGACGTAGCCACGTGTGGGGATGCCACAGCCCTGTGCCCCCCACCCTGCGCTCCCACCTCCAGCCTCTCACCTCTGTACGCGACACGAAGACGCGGGCTGTGCTCTCTCCACGTCCCGGCACTGTACGGCCGCAGCAGCAGCACCCAGAGCAGGGCTGCAGCCAACGGGGCCATCGCTGCGGGCACGGGGCCTCCGCCCGAAGGGGAGAAGCTGCGCTGCGCTGCGCTCTGCCCCAGTGGCGACCTGCGTGAGCCCAGCCCGGGCCGGGTGGCAGCCGGGGGTGGCACCTTCCTACAGACACCACGCTTCTCCCGGGGGCTCAGTGCAGGCGGAGCGTCCTCGGATGGAAACAGCTGCGGGCGATGAATCCAGGGTTAAGCTAAACACTGCCGACAGCTTCAAATAATCAACTCCTGCGAGAGGGGCTGCTGCCGAGGGCAGGCGCCGAGCGAGGGATGCTGGCAGCACTTTTTGCCGTGCCACGAACGGGGCAGGAGCCCAAACGCTGCGGGGGGAAGGGCGCCGGCAGAGCTCCGTCCCCAGGGACGGAGGAGGGCCGAGCGAGCCCGCAGCCACCCCCGCCACGTGCCGGCCCACAAACCCCGATTGTCTCGTGGCTAATCCAGAGCCCCGCGGGCTGCGCTTCTTGGGTTACAGCGGGGCCGGCAGCTGGGGAAGAGCTGGGGATGGGGCTGCGGGATGCGGCAGAGCCGGGCAGCAGTGCGGGCAGGCGGTGATGGGGCGGCCATGCCTCGTTCCCGTGCGTTTGCCACCCCGTGGCTCAGCCTATGTCACTGTGTGCTGCCAGCACCACGCGTGCCCACGGCTGCATCTGTACGTTGGGTTGCCCCACGCATCCGCCCTGCCCGTGCCTCTGTCCCCCGGGGGCCGCTTGATGGATGCCTCACAGCTGCTCCATCAGGCAGAGGCAGCTGTCGTCCCTGTCCTGCTGACCCAGGGCCGCTGGAAGGGATGGATGTTCACAGAGCTGGACCCCGAAAGCAGAGCGCTGTGCCATGCCAAGCCCTTGGGACCATGGTTTGCACACAGCCAGCAGCCCCAAAGAGTGAAGTTCCCTCAGCCTGGAGATCTCCAGGGGCACGGCCACGTTCCCAGCACCATCCACACCCTGGTGCAATGTGTGGGCCGAACACAGCCCTCATCCCTTGACCGAAATGGCGACACCTGATACAGCACCTCCTCCTCCATTTTCAGAGCTGGCTGAGCGCGTGGGGGCTAAAATGTGAGCAGGGCTCTCAGGGTGAGATGGGGCCCCCGGGCACCCCCAGGCCACACCTCAGACCCTCAGCTGCCAAGGCGTTGCGCAGAGTCCCCCCATGGCTCACAAACCACAATTCTCTCATTCCCAGCCCCTGTCCCCGCAGTGCTGCACTGTGCAGGAGCATTGCCCAGCACACGGCTTCAAACCATGCCTGGGGTTTGGGGGAGCATTTCACATCACTGGGGTTTCCTGTTTAATTCTCAACCAAAGGAACCAAAGGAGCGATGGAGCCCTGCCTCGCATCCTTGTGGAATTTGGGGAGATTAGATTAGGGATGAATTCTTCCCATATTTCCCTATAGCGCTGCTTTCAAACTGCTTTCAGGCTGACCTCCCTATCTCTGGCTCATAAACCGTCGGGGTGTTTGTTTCTCTGCCACATTCAATGCTCTCAGATCTGCAGGAGAAATCTGTACACCGCACCAAGACACACTGCTGTGTGCTGAGCGTCACAGCAGCTTGAGCATCACACCAACCTGTCCCAGAACACCAGCCACCCCAGTGCTCCCATTTTGGGCTACCAGCCATCCCAGTGCCCCCACCCTAAGCACACCGCAGTGCCTTGCCCCGCCGCACCAACCCCGACCCCGACGGCACGAAGCTCACTCAGAGCCACGGCGCTCGAAGGCACAAAGCGCACGCAGCCCGACCCGGAGCGGGACCGTCCCGCACCCAACAGAGCTCTGCGGGTCCGGCTCCGGGGCACGGCGCTCCCCCCGGGCCGCCCGGCTCAGGACGATTCCCGCATCGTTCCGTTACTCACCCTGGAGCCGCGGAGCCGCCGTCCGCCGATGGCAGCACCTGGGGCTCTGGGAGGGGCCGGGGGCTGCGCCCATTCCGTCCGTCCGTCCGTCCGTCCGTCCCGCTCAGCCCCGCGGTGCGGGCAGCTGTTGCCACCTAGCGGTGCGGGGCTCCGAAACGCTCCCGCAGCTCCACGGAGTGCAGGGGCAACGCGGGAACCCATCGGGAGCGGCTGACGGAAGCGGTCCGCACGTCGGAGCCGTGATACGAGCGTCGGAGCCGGGAGAGGGGCTGTGCCAGCTGCGTCTGCGGGGTTGGGCAGGGAAGACTTTCCCCGGCCGGGTTGATCCCGAGGAATGCGGGCAGCTCCGGGATCCCCGTGTCTGCACCGTGCCAAAAGGGCGCCGTCCGAGCGCGGCGTGCTCACCACGCGCCTGTCGGGATTTGCTCTGGCTGGGTTGGCGATGGAGCGCCCGCGCTCTGCTCGGGGGTGGCCGTGACGCCAGGGTGGCCGCTGCCCCCGCTGCTGCCCCCGCCTCTGAGCCCCTCCGGGGCGGCCCTCGCTTCTCGCATCGCTGGGACAACGAACCTCCCGCAGCCGGGCTGCTCCTCTCCTCCCCTCATCCACCCAACGCGATGCCAGGGGGAATAACGCAGTACAAGGAATGTCGGGCCCGTGGGTGCCCCACTGCCGGGTTTTCCACCAGGGCAGCTCCCAGCCTTCCCCAGCTCCATTTGGGAGCAGCTCCATTTGGGAGCAGCCCATCCTTCCATTGTGCGGCTGCAGGGCTCCATCCCCTAGGGGTGCAGTGCTCTCATTTCCCCTCTTCCTTGCCGACAGGATGCCGAGGTGCATCGAGCAGCTGGAAATCCTCCCGAGAAGGAAAGGGAGATGGCCAGACTCAGAGCTTCTGCATGGCCGCAGTGTGGCTCTCAGCTTCATTCCAGCCAACCCTGGGGTCTGCAGCAGCTCAAACCCCATCGATGACCTCACAGAACGTGGATACATGGAAGGGAATTGCTCTTGTTGAAGGGCTGACAGACACAAGGATGGGGTGCAAAGGGTTTGAGCTTCCAGCTGTGCAGCAGAACACTACTGGCAGTACAGCTCCAGCTCTACAGCACAGAGGGCCCTAAAGCACTGTTCAGTGAGTCAGTATCAAAAATCAAAGGCCATCTGCAGCTCTTCTTTGGCAGCAGCAGCTCTCACTGTGCAGGATGTGTGGATCAGCCTCCTGCTCCTGCACTGTAACACGCAGCAGTGGCAGCAGAACCACTACCACTGGGAATACTCTTGGAAATAGGAGAAAAGCAATTAAAAAGGGATGAAGGTAATTGCAATACAGCTGTGGCTTCAGGTGAATGGTCTTTAAATAAATATCCTGTCAGTGGTATCGAAAACATCGAGGACAGCAAAAGCATCCCCCCAGGTTTGGTTTGGGTTTCTACACCACTGCCACGCTGTTATCCCTAACAGGTCACAGCACTGCCCTGCGCCCTGTGTCCAACAGCATGAGTGCCCTGCAGTGCTGGCTGTGTGCACTGCACGGCAGCCCTGTGTCTCTGCAACCCTTCGTGCAGACACTCGAGGGAGCCCACATGTTTTGCCCGGTTCTCCTCCGGGTTTGGAGATGAAGGGGAGGAGCACGCGGGGCTCTGTGGTTTGGCAGCACTTGTTCAGGCTCTCGTTTGGGATCCTCCCTCTCTATTCCCACTCTCACAGAGCTCCCAGGCTGTGGACCAAAACAAACTGTTCCCAGCTGCTGGTCGAGGGCTTTCATTGTAAGACACGAGTGTTAAGGTGGCTCTTCCTCCACCTGAACGCAGTCCTCTAAAGCAAACTCCTTGAGCAGCTCCTCTCCCTGGCTTTGCTCCAGAGCCCCAGGACAGGGCGCAGAGTGGGTTTCCAGCAGCAGAGGGCTGCCTACCAATCCTTTATGAAGGATGCTCCTTGCCCTGGGTGCACTTCTCACGACATGGACTCACCAGCACCGCAGGTTCCCCTGCATCCTCCATTGCTGGGTGCAGCACCGATGTAGCAGCAGTGCTCCATGCCTCTCCAGGGTTACCTGTGCCAGAGGTAGAGAAATGCAGCCTCGACAGGTCTTCTGTTTTCCTCAGAAGTTGTGTGCTGCTGCAGGTGGTCCTTCACCTCCCAGTCTTGCTGTCTTCAGCTTCCCCATGCCTCTGGTGGGCGAGCAGCAGATGTGTGCGAGCCAGGGCAGCTCCATCACCACCTGCTGAGGGCTGGGCTCAAAGTCTGCTCCATGCTGCCCAGCAGCACGCACCAATCTGCCCAGGCCACACTCAGCCCCAGCACTGCTGTCCCAGCTGAGCTCACACACACATAACTCACTTCCATCAGCTTCAGCCAAACTGCTCTGCACACATCCCTGTCCCAGGAGCTGCCTCTGTGTGCTCAGCACTTGCTCAGAACGGCTTCCTTGCTAAAGGTGAATCCCAAACAGGTCGCTCCCTGTTCCCTACCTGGTCTTGGGGCTGTCCTCTGCTCCCTGTCCCCACAAAGTGCACAGCACCAGGAGCACACAGCCCAGACACAGATGTAAGCTCCAGGCCCTCACCAGCAGGCAGCTGAACACGATGGCGATCCTCCAAAGCAACACATTTCAGGCAAGAGACAGGCACTGACAAATTTTCAGTTTTATTAAAAAAAATCTAGCAGCAAAACCTGTAACAATTCAAAAACAAACGAACAACAAAAAGAAAAAAGAAAAAAAAAACAAAAGCCAACCCCCGAGAGAACATTACACAGAGGAAGAGACAGAGATGGGAGACGGGCTTGGGGTTTTGTCCACCATTTACTCAAGTTCCTTATAGCGGGCAAACATCACTCTCCTGACAGCATCACGGTAGGTCTCGTTGGACTGCCTCCTGTTGGGCCTCCCCTGGGCCCCCAGCCCAGCTCCCCTCTTCCGATTTTCTGCCTGAAAAAAAGCCCAACCACAACACATCTTAGTGATTTCTGACCGTCACCCACTGCCCACAGAGAAACAGGTTTCCCTGGGCTGCTTCAGGATGGCCAACTGCTCCCACGTGGATGGGTGAGAAGAGGAAAAGCTGTGCTCCTCTAAAAGCTGCAGGCCTTAGCAGCAACAAAAAACAGAGGCAGGAGATGCCCTGTGGGAACCAA